TATATATATATACATTTACGCCCAAAATAAACATGAAAATGTAATCACCCAATCATCGTGTAAAAGCCTTGCGCAACCCATATACCAATGTAAAGCTAAATAAATTCTGCAGTGTCTGAAACATCAATATGTTGTCTATATTTAAGAGTCGCCGAGATATGGTCACTCAAAACTGCCCTTAAAAAATCAGACTTGGCAACAGTGTATGAAATCAAACAAACGTAAACGTGTCTTCGTGTATTGAGGAGAATCAATATTGATAGAATAAATAAACGAGATTGTACCTTGCATATCAAATGAAAGGAGAGCATTGTGTCTTCAACAAACAATAAATAAACTACGATGGTTTCAACCAGATCGTAAAACAGAGCTGTAACAAATACCACTCAAAACTTTAAATGAATATGAAATGTGCTCATTATTATTTTGTTTAGGTGCCATTGGTTTTATGTAGAACATGAACCCTTTGGGCAAGGACTCTATACAATTTTGGACAAAATTATCTGCTAGTTCATCCCTAATGTCACAGAGAGTTGCAAACAAAGAGTCTGAATTGAGAACAAAGTCATTTTTCCTCTGCTGTGCTGTTTTATGAGATTTCACATACCTGAAGGATTCACTTCGGGCCTATTTACTCGTGATTCCTCCAACGTTTGCGTGATTTGCTTTTCCAAGAATTGTTTACCGGCATTGACCCCGTGAGAAAGTGCTTTGTCATGCATGGAAATGTCTACTTGAAAGACATCACGGAGTAAACGAGGGAAAGGCATGATGTTCCAGCACTTGCGTGGTGTAGAGATCTGAACCAAGCCATCTGGTGATTCTCACGAGGGTGGTTTCGTTCATTCCACACAAGACCACCCAAACTATGGCAGTTTCGCGTCCTCTGTTTTTCACTGACTTTCTGACTATGTCCAAAATTTAACTGAGAGAGCCAATGCCTCCTAAACAAAAACAAAATGCTTATGAGTACATGTAATACTATGTTCAAGTTTTGCGCGGTATTATGTTTGAAAATATCAAAGAGGATGCTATTCATTGCAAAGACATTTATATTCTTGATTCATTTGATATTCAATAAAGGTACATTCCAGCAATGTTGATGCACCTCAATGAAGGCGATAACACACTTTTACGTTTGCATAATTTCGCACAATCTTGCCAAGCCTGATTTTTTATGGTAATTTCTGAGTGGCCATAACTCGAGTAACTCTTAACATGGATGAAATATTAACGTGTCAGATGATGCAGAATTTATTTATACGTAGTTTTTAATTGGTATACTGGATGAGTATGTAGCGCTACGCTTTATCACAATGATTACGTGAGTACATTTTCAGGTTTCTTCTGGACTTCACAGTATATAATTATATATTATATAGGGCTATAATATA